CTCTGAGCAACAGCGGTTCGAGTCAGCCCGAGCTGAGCAGCCGTGAGCTGCCAACAGGTGGCGGGATGGCTCAGCTAAAAAAAAAAAAAAAAAAATGTTGGCAGGAAGAAAGCAGATAGAACCGAGTATCTTCCCTAAGGGCGTGACCTTATGTTGTCCTTACAACAACCCCACGGGGTTGCACCGCAGGTACTGTATTAGACAATCATTACCAGCAAGACTGACCGCCAGACTTCGCAGCCAAGAACGATGGCGGGTCCGGCTCAGCACTCACCGGTTTGGACAGTTACATAATTAACAGAGAATGTTCGGCTTCCTTCGCCCCTGGGCTGGGCTCGCGAGGCGGGCCTTGGGACCGAGAGAAGCGCCCAAGAGAATCCCGGCGGTTGGCGAATCCCGGGAAGAGTTCCAGCGCGGGAGGTGGGGTGAACCGTCACTGTGAGTCTTACGTAAAGCGTCGGAGCGCGCGGTGAGAACCTGAGGCCGGCCGGGAAGGGGGTGTGTCCAAGCGGTCCGGCGCTCCCTCTGATTGGCGGGCAGAATGACCGGCGCGTTTACACTCGGCCATACGGCGATGGGAACGTGCGTCAGCTTTGCGTAATCGGATGGGAGGAGGAGCGTGTCTGGCTGCTGAGGGGCCTTGCTGATTGGCTGAAAGGTGCTGGAGCCGGGAGACCTGGCCCTGCCGGGGATGGGCGGTGCCGTGGGTTTGGTCCTGGAGTTGGTGACCGGCTTCGGTGCGACGATCATGGCAGCTCGGACTGGTAAGAGGGCCCTCATAAAGGTGGTCTCGGTCTCGGGATGTCGTCCAAAGTCGATGGCAGCAGCTGGAGCCCTCAATCCGGCGCAGGGGCCTGCGCGCAACGTCAGGTAATAATCATCTCGGGCCCCGAGATGTGGGTAGTTTTCCACCCAGGCCTGCTAAGTGGGCGGGGTGGGGGGGGGACCTGGGATATATTAGATGAGGCGGAGTCGGACCCGGAGCGTTTCCGCGTCTTTAGAGGGAAAGGGTCTGCTGTGTTCAGCATTTACGGGACTCAGGCGCAGCGCACATCACCCCTGGCCGGAAGCTCGCCGGCCTATCCCGGCTTTCCCGTCTGTGTTTGTGACTCACTGCCCTTGCGAGAGACGGTGAATCTTTGGGGAAGCGACATTGAAGCAGCTAAGAAAGCAACTCGGCGACCTGTGCCTTTGGGCTCTTCCGGTCCCCTCCCTTACGGCCTGCTGCTGCTGTCGGAAAGTTTTAACTTTGCTTACGAGGGTTGCGGGCTGCTGGGCGTTGAAGTTTGTGGCCTGGCAGTGAACCCCCTTCTGTTCCTCTTGCGTGCCAGATGGCCAGACGAGCTTTCCCAGTTTCTGGTAGAGGTCTTTGCCCCCGCCCTTTGATTCTTGCAAAACTAACCGTAGCCGACGTGGGGGACTTGGAATTTTTTTTCCACTCCACTGTAACTTACAGGTCCTGTAACCAGAATTTGCCTCGATTTTTTGTTGTTGTTGAGTGGGTGTGGAAATGGACGTGGAGACGTGAAGAATTCCGTATTTCCAACACTTAGTTTCCTTTTAATAACACTAATAAATTAAGCTGAAAAATTAAAGTTAGTGTTTAAAATGAAATCAATTGTAAACACTACGAAATGAAGGGAGAAAGCATAAATCTGGTTGAGCTCCAGGAAATTTAGATTCCATGAAGAATTTTTAAAATGCCAACAATCCAGCCAACTCATCCTTTTAGACAAATATTGGTTAAAATGGAAATAAAGTCATTTCAGGTCGTTTACTCCTGTTTTAGAACATAACCTGAAAAAGTAGCTCCAAGCAGAACATACCTTAACGTTCTTCAATCTACTTTTTTACTCTTATAAAATGTTGGCTTGCAAATAAACTAAACTGTTACTTTTGAGAAAAAGACAAATACATTTGCTTTGGTAATATAATTAAGGCTTAAATTCAAAGATAAATATCCACTGTTTATGATAATGAAGAGGGAGGGAGTTTATAAGTTCATTGCAAGGCAGAAACATTAACATAGATTCTGGCCTTTATTAGAATTATGTTATTAATATAATTATAATTAATGTACATTTAATTATTACAGAGTATTATAGATAGTCTAGTATTGGAAATTAATATTAGAAGATTAGTGACAAAAATGCTGTCCTTCATTTGGTCCAGTTTTCATTTCATGGTTTAATCATACATATGACTGCATGGCTCCTCATGGTGCAGTTGAACACACATTATTCTTGATAGTATGTGAAAATAGATGTGCTGTCCAGAGCATTGTCACCATAGTATGCAAACTGATTAGGTAAACTACTATAAGCTTGTTTTAAACACAGGTATTTCTCTGATAATTGCGATCAGATTGTGTAAGGGTTTCTTTTTAGAAAGTTGGGGCAATGGCATTACATGAACCTGGTACAAAATTAAAAAACATACACAGTGAAAAGTAAGTTTCCTATTCAACCAGACACTCAGTTCCCCTTTTCGGAAGCATGGGTCTTATCTTTTATTAAAATAAAACTTTATCTCAGAGAAGCTGACTTTTCTGATACTGAATTATCAGGAAATTAGTAATAATTGTGTGATGTACCTGCCACATAATTGGCTTCCTATGATAGATAACAAGGTATTGACACAAAAAGTGGGAAAAATAGGTAAAACTGTTATAACGGTTAAAGACATCTAAAGAATGTATTAGAAGGGAAACAGATAATTAGGCATTTTGTACACCAGGTTTGGTTTTTGTAATCAGTATGACTGAGATCCTAAATTATTTTTTGTGGCTTTTTTTTTTTCTTTTTTAAGATTTTATTGGGGAATTTGGGGAGGGGAACAGTGTTGGGGAATTGGGGAAGGGGACTAGCCAAGTTGCTGTTCTTTAGTCTTTGTTGTAGAGGGCGCCAGTCGCCATCTGGCTTCCCGATGGCAGCTCGTGGCCTCTAAGCTCAAGGTGCTGTGTTCAATCCTAGTTGTGGGTGGGTGTAACCACCATCCCATGTGGGAGACAAACAAGCAGCCTTGTTAAGAGTACACGCTCTATCCACTGAGCCATCCGGCTGGCAGCTCAGCTCAAGGTGCCGAGTTCAGTCTTAGTTGTGGGTGGGCATAGCCCACCATCGAATAGGCAGTCTTGTTACACCAGCTGCACCATCCTGCCACCTGTTGGCAGCTCTATGACAGCTCAGCTCAGGCGCGGTGTCACTGGCCCATGTGGGAATTGAACCGGCAGCCCTGTTGCTCAGAGCTCACACTCTTAAGCCAACTTTTAACCAACTGAGCCACTCAGCTGTTATTTATAGCTGGATACATAAGAATCCTAAAATCTTAAAAGGGGCCAATAAGTTCATTCATACAGTTCATATGTTTGATTCCTTATCAGTACATTTTAACAAATGGTCTCACAGCATGTAGCTTAAACATGTTCATTGGTCTCTATTTCATTACCTCTGGAATAAGCCCATCCAATTTTTATAAACTGCTTTAATTGTTTAAAAGTTCTTTCTTGTGTTATGGAGTCCAAATTTGTCTCCCTCTTCTTAGGCTTTTGTTTTACATTTTGGAGCCATATTTTCAGGTATCAACCCTTACCTTCCTGCTGAATATTTCCAATTTCTTCAACCATTTTTTTAATTTAATTTTTTTATTATTATTATTTTTATTGTGAAATACACATTTTTTAGAATTAGTTTCAGCTGTACAGCACAGTGCAATAGTTATACTTTTTACCCCTCGAGGTGACAATCCACCGCCCCACTTCCCCCCCCCCAATATCATACATATCTATTACAAATCCCTTGACTCCACTCCCACACTATACGCCACGTTTTTGATTTAGCGTCTTGGGTTTCTCTGGGTAGATACCCAAGAGTGGAATTGCTGGGTCATACAGTAGTTCCATTTCCAGTTTTTTAAGATACCTCCATACTGATTTCCATAATGGCTGCACCAATCTGCAGTCCCACCAACAGTGCACCAGGTCTTCAACCATTTTTGGTTTAACTTGATTTTCTATTCTTCTCCACTCAAAAACTGTAGGGTGTCGACGTCCTTAAAGAAATTTTATTTATATGTAAATCATATTTTATATAAATAAAATTTTATACTTGATAACATAAGGAGATTTCACCAGGTAACCCCATTTCCCCTTTAAAAAACAATTTGAAGATTTAATTTAATGAAATCTAACTCACTCACTTGGAACTCTTCAACAGCTTCTCACTGAGAATAAATTCCAAATTGCTTTGTCTTGGGCAGTAATCCCCAGCATGGTCCAGCTCCAACCTGTCTAACATTATTCCCGATACTCTCCCCCTGCTGTACTGCTGATACACTGTTAGTCTTTTTTAGTCTCTGGACTCCCTGCTGCTTAGAATGGCCCCTATCTCCCTCTTTTCCATATATAGTGATATATATATATATATGTATGTGTTTACATATAGGCACACACATTTATTATATACATATATACCTATTTCTCTCTGCATGGCTAACTCCTTATCCATTATGTCTCAGCTGAAATATAACCTTAGAGGTCTTCCTAGACCACCCTATCTAAAGGAAGCTCTAATTGCATGTCCCCACCTCCTTTCTCTTTTCAGCACTTTTTTTTTTGGAATCTTCAATTAGAATGTAATCTTATAAGGTTCATGTTTGTTTTATTCACCATTATATCTATACATTCACCATTATATCCATTATATGCCTAGCACAGAATAGGAGCTCAATAAGTATGTGAACTAATGCATGAATAGTAGTGTAAAATAGTTATACAATAATCTTATTAGGAAAAGGCTACAAATATTTAGGTGAACAAGGGTATATTGGGCACCTGGATTCAGAAGTACCTCACACAATTAACATTCTAATTACCTTGGCATATGTTTCTACATATATGCATGAAATGGAGATCACAAAGTAAAAGGAGAACAGAGCAACAGTTCTGATAGGATCATCAGCTCTCCAATAGAGTAAATCAAGAATTAAGGAGCCCCTGTGGATCCAGCTGGGAAAACAATCTGGGTAAATGAGTTGAAAAATATATAATGAATATGCTATCAAGTGTATGGCAAGAATGTGTTGTGACACATGACCAAAAGCCAACTTTTGGGGATAGATCCCTTTTGTGCCAGAAGCTTCTAACCCTAACTCTAAGCTGTGATTTTTAGTTTTCTTTACAGTGCTTAAAGAAGCTTGTTTCTTGGTGTGTGTTCACATGCACGCGCGTGTGTGTATGTGTGTGTGTGTGTGTGTTTCAGGAATAATGTAAAGTTGCAAAGCCTTCTAAAGTGTGATAGTTATTTTACAATCTCTATAATTTGTTTACAATTTCTGTAACTTGTGTTTCCTCTTAATTTTCAATGTCTCTAAATCAAATAATTTTTGTCTTTTTAGATATTTAGCTTCCTGTGGTATACTGATGAGCAGAACTCTTCCACTACATACCTCAGTGTTGCCTAAGGAGATACATGCAAGAACTTTCTTCAAAATAGCTGCACCATTAATAAACAAAAGAAAAGAATATTCAGAGAGGAGAATTATAGGGTTTGTATATAATAGTTCTACTAAAAGAGCATGTTCACAATTTTCTAAGAGAATCATGACTTTTTTTCTGGATTCTCTTCTTACAGACTAAGCTCTGTTTCTAGATTGGCCTTTCCATAACCCTTGCTGTTTTATAAATATTTGTTGAATGAATATGATTACATGGTAACTTTATAGGATAGATTTAAACCTTGACATAAATAATTGAACTGTTTATGACCAGCATTTTTGTATACTGTTCTTTTCTACATTATTGATACATTGGCCCAAATATGTTTATATATCTCCCTCACATACACATATACGTAGGTAAGTACATACAGGCATACTAAGAGGCTCCTACCATCTATTGTAGAATGAAGGTTGGCCAACTTTTTCTGTAAAGGGTCAGAGGGTAAATATATTAGGTTTTGTGGACCATACTATCTCTGTTGCAACTACTCACTTTGTCATTGTAGCCCAAAAGTAGGATAAACAATATGTAATAAATAAGTGGGCATGGCTGTGTTCTTTTGCTATTTACAAAAACAGGCACCGGACCATGTTTGGTCCTTGACCTAGTGGTATGTGTAGCAGAGGCTAGAGATAGCAGTTGTTAAACCAGCATCCCTTCATATGGGAATTCCTACAAGGGGATCTTACTTCCCAACAGACCATTAAGTATTACATGAATTCTTATAAAAGTACATTGGATTCATTTTATTCAGTTGCTTTTTCCTTTCTGGTTTTTCTATAGTAAAGGACTTTTCAGCAGACTTATAACTTTTGTCATTAAATTTACCTTTATTTTTGGCTAGTCACTATGTTAGTTAAGGTAATGCTAGCAACTATATAGGTAAAACCCAAAAGTTTATGTCTTTCTCATGTAAAGTTCAAGTGGGTATTCCTGACCCCTGGGCAGCAATCCTCCAAGTTGTGATTGGGGAACCCAGGCTCCATCCAACTTGTGACTTTTGTAATTCCTTAGTGGTCAGATTTTCTTAAAAAGATACACCTGCTTCTTAACCACATTGGTCTAGAAGTGACCGGTGCTCCCTCCTAGATATTATTGGCAAGAACTAGTCACAAGACCCTCTCTAAATGCAAGTAGGGGAGGACTGGGAATTTGTAGACCCTGATGGGCAGCTACTTTCCAGCAACAACGCACATGAAAGGAACACAAATCTTTGGATGGGTGGACATCTTTGCCACAGCTGTATTTGTTTAAAAGAGAAATGGCAACTAAAAGATAAATCAAATAATGAATTAGATTTTACTTTTGAATCACTAATATCTTTCTTTTACTGCATACTGCCATTTGACAGGCACTAAAAGTGCTTTATATTTGTTCATTTAATTCTCACAATAGCTGTGTGAACTAGGTATTATTATTCCCATTTTAGTGATGAGGAAACTGAAGCTCAGAGACACAATGTACATTAAGTGTCATGGCTCCAGAGATTATTTTTCCCACTGTATTTTACTGATTCTTACTTGCATCCTTATTCTTTCTCATACTAAAATTCTTTTTATTGCAAATTGGTCTTATCCAATGATTGTCTTTTTCCCTTGTATTTGACATATACATATAATAATAGCTACTATTTATTAAGCATCGTATACTGCCAAAACTGTTTCATTTAACCCTCAAATAAGAATGCTGTTAGGAGTATTTTTAGATTATGAATGAAGATAGTGAAGTAGAGAAGTTAAGCAACCTACCCAGGGTCATATGGCTTACTATGTTTTAGAGTAGATATTTGAACAGTCTTTTCTAGCTAGAAAGTCCATCCCTTTCTATGTTGTACTACTTTCTTAATCTTTGTAGACTACCTTTATGGCAATTAGCTTCCAGGCTACAAGGTTTCAAACTTTGTCATGGGACTTATTTTAGTATTTACTTCCAAGTGTCTGAAAACCTGGGGAAAGTAGGTTTTTCTCCGAATCCCTCTGTTGTGGGCCTCATTTCTTGATCATAAAGATTAATTTAAACATATGTAAAGACTTATTCTGTCATGTTCAAGAAATACCCTTTTGTAATTTAGATTGTAATTGTTTAAATTACTTTATCACTTTGAGACGAGTTAGGTTTTAATAATGTTGAGTCTTTATAACCAAGAGTAATATATGCCTAGCTCTGATTTTTCAGGTTGTTTTTACATGTTTCCATGCAGTGTTATTGTTTGTTTTATCATTTAAGCCCTGAAGTTTTTTTGTTGAATTTATTTCTAGATATTTTTGCATTTCTATGATACTGTTTTCTAACTGGTTCTTGTTAGTATAGGAAAAGTATTAATTTTTATGTATTTCATACCAGGCTACCTTCCTGAAATCTGAATTGATTCTCTTCTGAACTGATACTCATATCACCTCCCAACTGATAAATTTACCTGATTCTTTTCCATTCAGATGCCTCATATTTCATGCTCTGATTTAATTACTTTGACTAATACTTTCAGAACAATGTTACATAACAATAATGATAGCCAGCATCTTTGTCATATTTCTAACTCTAATGGGAATGCTTCAGGTATTTTACCATCTGTGGAGAGAATCATATAGTTATTCTTATTTGGGCTAATTAATATGGTTATAATAATATAATACTTAGTATTAAACCACCCATACATCTTTAAATGAGTTTCAGTTGGTTGTATTTTTTTAACGTACTACTAGATTATATTTGCTGATATTTTTCTTATAATTTTTGGCTCATTATGACCTCTGTTTTATCTAGCTCCCTTTTATTTTCTGTGTTCCTTTCAAGCTACTCATTCTAGGGCGTGGTTCAGCATGTGTGCCAAATGATTTATTGCCTCATGCACAATAAGTTGTATGGTCAATTTTAATGTACATATAACATATAACTAAATGCAGTTAACATCGCTCCTTTTTTTTAAAAAAAAAGATACTCTATGCAGGAAATGTATGATGTCGTATCAGGAATGGAGGATTACAAGCATTTTGTTCCTTGGTGCAAAAAATCAGATATAATATCAAAGAGATCTGGATACTGCAAAACACGATTAGAAATTGGGTTTCCACCTATATTGGAGCGCTATACATCAGTAGTAACCTTGGTGAAACCACACTTAATAAAGGTAACAGTTCTGTTTTTTGTTGTTTTTAAATATTCCCCAAATGTCGAGTTTATCAAATGGATTAAAGTATAATAGCTTGAAAAGATTTCCCTAAATTAATAGGAGAGGAGGAAAAAAAAAAACCAAACCATTTATTGTATTTCCTAATTGTTTTATTTTATAAAATATTAGCATTATTCTTTCCAAATAGAAATTTGACTGTAATATGGAAATGAGAAACTTCCTTTTTTCCTTCTGTTGAGGACTGCTGACCCATTTGCTGCCTCACTTAATGTGCCAATTCATTGTTTAAAGTTATCTTTGAGAATAACACAACTTTATATGCTCATTTTTCAGTTGTCCCTGGGTTCAGGTTCTGGATTTTAATACCTAATACGCACATGTAACATACAATGAAAATCAGTATAACCAACAGAAGAGCAGAAACCATGTGACATATTCTGTGAATTATTAGCTGCCCCAGATGTGCCTGTGACTTAATGTGTCAGTTATTCCTAGTCTATATGAATCTGTAATGAATGACCAGAAACCCTTGAAAGTTTTCAGCAGATTTAATAGGGGCAACAGTTCAGTGACTCTTACTGCCTAGTTCAGAACATAAACATTTTATATGGTGTAGTATGGTCAGGATCAGTTCAGTCAAAACAACCATTGTGGGTCATCATCATAACACCTCTACTGTGTTCAGCATCTCTGCTGTTAAGAATGATGTTTTGGGCAGTATTGTCCCTCTCAAAACATACTAGTAAAAATCTGTGGGTCCTTGGACTAGATTATCAGTATGAATACAGCATTGCCACATTTATGAAAAAGTAGTCAGAGGAAGGTGCTATATTGTATTGAGTATTCCCAGCAGCTGGTTCTCTTTTATTGTTAAATTTCCTATAAGCTTCTTATGTGATTGTAAAGAAGGGTAGAATGTATTATCTTAAAGTTGGATAACTAAAATAGTAAGATTTTATTATAGACTTTTTTTTTTTTT